CTTCATACTGGCGCTGTCTATTTTCCTTTATATATTCACGGAAACTTACGTACAGTGTCTCGCCCGTCACAATTTTATTTTACTTCCATTTGACCAATCGATTTCAAATTTTATATACTTTAGAAATCCGATGATATTACAACAATAATGATGCTGCAAATAGGACAGTCAGCAGACTACTCAACTCCTCGTCTACTTCTATCGTGTTTAGGGTCAATAAATTGGTGTTCACGCGTTGTTATTTTTATTTTTATAATTATAATATCCAGCGATGGGATGAACGGCTCGTGCGCCTAGTGTTTAGCAACACGTCTGTTGCTAAAATGCTAAAATGCTGAATGCTCATATTACTGCTTGGCGGCACAAACAGGTATAATGTACTCTCGAAGAACTCTTTCACAAGGAGCTCTACTGCAACTATAGTATACGATATTGACTTTTTGGAGTACATTTTTTATTGTAATTTAACTTTTATAAGCTTCTGTGATAGTACTTAAAATACGATAATGCATGAATGACCCTTTACCAAAGAAATATTTTATTGGTTGCATTGACCTATTGGTCACTTCAACTTACGCCTTCGCTTGACCTGAAATGGAGCGAATATTAACAAAAACAAATAATGTAATAGGCTTATAGCATTTATTTTAAATGTTAACTACACAAAGCATATTTACAGACAATTTTCTTATAATCAAGCTAACTTAATCATAAAATATCACTTCATAGGCGCGTTATACTTATTAAGTACATTTCATTCAATAAATAGAATAATTTTGAACTATTTCTTTTGTATTATTATCTTTATCTTCGCGAAAACAGTATCTTTGAACATTATCGCTAGTAGTACAGAAGAGAAAAAATCCCTATGATACTACTAGAAATATAGCTTAAGCAGTGTTATGAAGAAAAAAATTCGGCGCATAGAAATTTAAGACTGAAATGAATCTTCTTTTTGCCCGCCAGCTGACAGTCATGACGGTAAAGAGCATGATCGTCAAGGCTTAGGGCGCCTTCAAACTAGAGGCTTGTTGGCGTGGCTGCCGCGCGTATGTAGCACTTTGCGTTTCTAAGTGTGATAACTTTTTCGACCTAAAAATCGACCTCAAAAATTTGCTGATTTTTTCACCAGTTTCTGACTTGGGGATAATAAGATCACCACGAAAGTGCACCCTTTGGAACAAAAAAAAAGAATTTTCAAAATCGGTCCACAATTGACGGAGAAATCGGAAAACATACTACAGCCGAACGTATAACCTCCCTTACCATAACAACATAATTGACATTTTCAAATCTGGAATCACGGAAACGAGATCTACAATTCCCCTAGAACTAAGAGTTTTTGTTTGTTAGTTTCAGTTTTATTGTTAAGCAAAATTAGTGTAATTGACATTTTACAAAGAAAATTTAAATCGTAAAGATCTTATGGGCACTCCCGCTGCGCCCGTCACCCTGGGACATAAGGTGACAAGTCCCATGTGCCTGTAATTTGACTAGCACACTCACCCTTCCAAACCGGATCGCATGAATGCTCACATTATTGCTTGGCGGCAGGAATAGGTGGCAATAGTTCCCTGGACGAACTCTGTCGCCAGGAGCTCTACTGCTACCAAAATACAAATGCGTTGTTTATGACAAGGACGGCAGAGTATTGGCGTCACTGCAGCGTTTCTATAGCGTCTAATTCGAAGGCACCCCTACGTTCAATTAGCAAAAAAAGAAAACAGTTTTTGTAACCATAGCATAATGAATGTTATGTCAATTAAGTAACGTACATACTCTTCTTTTTCAGTCTCTAGCTGAGTGTAGACCTCCTCAATTGCACGCCATTCTCTTCGGTCTCGGGCCATTTGCATCCATCGCTTTTTGGTTACATTGACTATATCGTCCGTCCACCTAGCCTTCTTTCGGCCGATGCTTCTGGTACCTGCCCTCGGTCACCACACCTGCACTCTTCTGCTCCACCGGTCATCGGTTCTGCGGCTTATGTGATCCGCCCAATGCTACTTTCTTTGCGCAATGATACGATTTACGTCGTAACATAGTGCGACTCCGGATTTCTGTAATTTTTATTCTGTCGCTCTGATTGACACCCAACACGGCGCGTTCAATTTTTATTTGGGCTACCTGCAACTTTTGGATGCACTGCTGTGCATTCAAGCGTGTGGATGCACCGGCTGAACACACTGCTCATAAACCCTAGCTAGACATCTTTCGCTCCCTCCGGCCGCGTGGGAATTTGGGAACTGGAGAGACGCCGTTCATTCGGCGCCGGGAAGTGAGCGTGTCTTACAGCTCCGCCACCAATGAGGAAATTTAGTAGTCGACTTAGAGTGGGCGGCTCGACGGTGGCAACCGTTAGTCCCGGTGGTAACCGACGGGAAGTGAGCGTGCCCACATCTATCTGAAAAATAGGGAGGGTGCTTTAAATGCACCCGGGGCGGCTCACCTAAGGCACTAGCCTTACAGAGAACCGGATGAAGTTCATGCAAACGGGTGTGATCCGGGGTTAGGACCTGACTTAGATGATCCCTGTGCGGGTTCACTTGCACAGGTCATACTACCTTCCCGCATAACCAAGAGGTTGATAGGGAGAGGTACTATAAACAAGACTTATATACAAAGATATGGGACTGTTCATAAACCTTTCTTACACCTGAAAATTAGGGACAGCTTTCCCAACGCCCCACAACTGAGTCTAATGCGGCGTTGCACTTCTTTAGATTGTCCGTTCTTCCCAAATGTAATCAGCTGCTCCAAGTAGACATTATACGAATAACAAACATACTAGTTACGAGTCAAGAAAAACAGGTCGCTCGTCTGCCGAAGAATCCTCACGCAGTCTCGGAAATTTTCGCAGCTACCGTTTTGTATCTTATTGTATGTTACACAACGGACACAAAATTCATTATGCTATATGTAATTTCGTTACGAAAATTCGCTTCCATTCAGTTCATAACGGCTCGCTTTTAATTTATTTCCATTTTGCTGGGCGCTGCGTAATCCAAGGACATTTCTTCTTAGCTTCAAGGGTTCCAGAAACCCCTTGACCCTGAGACACAGCGTTATTTCTTACTTTCTTTGAAATAGATGAAGAAAAAACATCTTTATCTTCATATAAATAGGATCGTAGAATAAACTATTTACTAAGTTAGGACTGCAAAAGTGATTAGACATCACCACCGAATAAAAATCTATTTTTCTGGACATTACAGAAATATTTTAAGATAAAACAATTTTGGCTAATATTCTAAACAAAAAATTGTTTACTTTAGTAGCAAATTAGAGGATGATTCCGGATTATTGGATTTCATCTACGGGAAGTAGATGACCGTGAACGTTAAGGGAAGTAGAAGAAGTTAACCGATTGCAATAAAACTTGGTAAATAGATGTAATTCTACAAACTTTTGAGATTGGCTATTTTTTATAATAAGTTACTAAATATTTTATATGCTGTGATGTTCTTTAAATGAAGACACACTTAGTTTACAAGCTTAAATATTTCATTACGTACCTAAATGTAGTTTTCCATGTGAAATATCTTAAATATTAATATAAATATACATTAGGTTTTTCAAAAGGTCCTCTACAAGTGACGTAATTTTTTAAACTATAATTTGGTGTAATCCTAAAAAAAATTATTTCGTATTCGATGGACATGTTAATTTTTGCTGTTTACGGTACAAATAAAAGGACATGGCGCACCCTTAATAATAAAGTGACTAAATCGAAAACTAACATTTCTAAGAAACACCGGCGGAATAGATTTTAAAATATAAAGTATCAACAAATATGCCATTTTTTGGTAATTCTATATGTAATTTTAAAACTATTTCGTCAGTTTCCTACAAAATGTGACTATGAGAATTTCGTCATATTATTATTGAAAGTGCGATATAATATTAGCTCTACACAATATTTGTAACATTTTAATGGATATCGATCTTATTAACTAAACTTAATTTAACAGCAAGGAACTTAAGAGCTAAACTTGACATTATGACTTAGTAACATATCTTAATTTTAAACATAGAATATTAATTAAAGATAATCATTGTCACCAGCATTATATTTTCAGTGTGACCGTAAATAGATATTATATAACTTTTTCACCTCACTAGATCGGAAAGGCTTTCTTTTTCAGTAGATATCTGCGCGCAAAAGCTTTCCTTTTTTTGTGTTTAGAAATCTGAACTTGACGATGGACCGTAGTGCACCTAACTTTTTCTTTCGATTAAAAAACACAAACACGTTGAAGTACGCGATTTGTCGTACATTATTTATGTAATATAAATCCGTTGGTATATTTTATTCTTATTATTGTTGACATTAAATTGACAATGAAAACAAATTTTGTTTATTAAATTATTTTAATTCGTCGAAAAACTAAATTAATTTCAATAATCACACAAAATTATAAGTACAACAATAAAAATCCGAACATAAACTTTTTGTTTTGTTTGAAAAAAGTGCTGTCTTATAGTTCAATTGTTTTTCTTTCATCCACCATTTTCCTCGCCATAGTGAGATGGAAAGTTGTATGTTTCGCTCGGCAGCAAAGTTGTTTTCCGTCTCGTGACTTGTAACCTTCGCTACGCTCAAGATTCTATTTTTGAACCATTCGCTTCCCTCGTGGTTCAATCTTAGGGTCGAATTCTAGAACTCTACTCAATGCTCAAGTCAGGATTGCACTGGAAACACATGCACTGGAAATACGACCCTAATGGCAGGGACTTGAGTATGATTTCGAGTGCTTTAAACCATACTGAAATCCTGACTTGAGCATTAAGTAGAGTTCTAGAATACAGCCCTTAGAGTCGTATTCTAGAACTCTAATCAATGCTCAAGTCAGGATTCCACTGGCAACACAAGCACTGGAAATACGACCCTAATGGCAGGGACTTGAGTATAATATCAAGTGCTTTAAACCATACTCAAATCCGTTAGGTTGAGCATTGAGTAGAGTTCTAGAATACGACCCTTAGGCTCCTTCGCTTACTCAGCTTTTCATACAAGCACTCGACACACAACAACTTTGCAGCCTTGCATAACAAATAACTATTATTAATAACATAAACATTATTACGAAATGAATTTCAATGGACAATCCCGCGAGAGCGCTCCATATTAACGATGTTTGATTTAACAGTAATAAAAGTTAAAAAATTAGACAATACAATCTAGAAGCTAATGTCGAGGATCGTCGTTTATCAGTTTCCCGTTAAATTGTATAGTTTTAACGTTGAAAGTATTTTAAAGCTTGAAATTTTCGACCAAAAGTGCGTTTTTTACTCATTAAGACAATGATAAATAAAACTACAGATTTTGAAAAACGATAACTTTAGGATGCTTTTTTTTAATATGTATCTTTAAGTCTATAATGTCAAGTGACGGGACGAACAGATCGTGACACGCCTGTCCGTAGCAGTTGCAGTGCCACTCAGAGTTTTAAATAGCAAAGATCTGAGGGGCACTGCCACTACGTCCGTCACCGTGAAACATAATAAATGAGCATCAAATTCGAAACATAAAATTTATTCACAAAAACCTATGTAGTACTGCCTCAAGCCCCACTCGCGTTCTGTTTGTGTGTGACAGAGACGGCACCAACATCGGAGATTTCTTTTAAAATTTGAATTGTCTTTTTAATTAGTCACACAACTTAGATTTTCGAGATATTTAACTAAATTATTGTCACAATTATAATCATAGGTTTCTTACCATAGTATGCGGATTTGAACCTGGCGTGAGGCTACGTTAATAAGTATATTTAATAAACTCAGAGACAGTCAAGCCGCTCTATATGCGTTAACCTCGGTCATCCAAACATCAAGCATTGCAGAGAATTGTATGACTATAGTGAATGCTCTCGGGGAAAGGAATAAAGTGGTCCTGCGTTGGGTTTCAGGCCACTCTGACACCGCGGGTAATGAAGCAGCAGACGAACTGGGAAAGGCTGTTGCTAGAGAAACCTTTATTGGACATGAACCCTTTATGGGGATAGCATACAGCCTGGCAAAGCTCACTCTGCTGAATGAGAGCACACACGTCTCCCGAGAAGTGTGGCTACGGAGCAAGGATCTTGAGCATTCAAAAGCCCTGATAGTGTTAAACACTGTAGAAAAGCTCTGTCATTACACAAGAATGGCATCAGAATGCTCACTAGAGTCTTAACCGGATATTGTGGCTTGAACAAGCACATGGCAGATATTGGGCAAAGAGAGAATAGAGAATATCAGCCACGAAGCGGATAAAACTTCTGTTCATTTTCTCACCCAACGCTACAACCAGAAAGAAGGTCACAACCAGAGGACGTAAAATCTGTCGGAGCCAGAAAAGTCCTTCAGTTTTTCAATTCTGTTGGCCTTGGCTCTGATTTGTAATTGGTGGTGTTTACAATAGATAAGTTGATGGTCGCAGTGATGAGAGCTGCATGTGCCCCGAATGAAGCAACCCCATCGGAATGGTTACACTGTGGTGAGAAATCTTATAATTAGTGAATTTAGACATCCATCTTTTTTGTGGCTAATGTTATTTTGTTGGATTGCGAGAGTTTAGTATGCAGCTTATTGTATAAACGTCTACATAAAAATTAAAAAAAAAATATGCCGCAAGACGGTTCAGAGTGATTTAAAATGCATTCTTGTACACCATTGTCATAAAGAAATAAATGAATTATAATTTATTATCGAATGCGCAAAGCCTGGCCTACCAGGATTAGCCTATTAAACTCAAAAGTCATAGGTGCCAATCACTGTTGCTTTACGGAGTACAAAATATATGTAATTTGTGTAAGATGTACAACGAAAACATTTGTGTAGCAATTTTTTATTGCGAGAAGTTCGAGCTCCGAATCTACCTAATCTAGGTTTCAGACATGCTTAACGTGCTGTCAGTGGTGTAAAGGAGGTCGGAGAACTGACTCAGAACTTCAGACATCCTAGTAGCATTTCTATAACAACCTACTATCTTTTACTACAATCTTATGGCATCACATTGAAGTTAGTTCGATTGACTGAGACTGATTAATAAACTTAGCAACGCCACAGTTACAATGGACATCGGAGTGACGTTTATACCGGAATTTAGTTGAATCTTTGAAACGATTTTGTTAGTAACATTCTTTACTCTATTTACGAACTTATCAAGGATATCAGATCTTGGCGTAACGTCACAGGCTGTATGACTAATAGCATCTAAAACAGGAGCGGTAAATATTCTAAAATTAATATCTGTATCATTCAGTTTCGTGTATAACCAAAATGGAAGTCTATTGGATAGAATCCACAAATTCTGATTATAGTCAACCTTTATGTCTGTAGGGTATATCATAGTTTCGTCGTTCATGTAAATTCGACCTTGGTTCTTCATGATGTAGTCTTTGTTCGAAGTTCTCCAGCAGGCAACAGCGTTTAGATTTACTAGGGAGTAGAATAGAACGCCCGTGTTTGGGTCCAGGAATGAGACGCTAGATTGGGCGTTCGGTCCACGACTGCCAAGCAGTTTAAAGGCATTAAAATTATTTTCAGCAATGGTTTGATTTCTCAAATACTCAGTGGATACAGCGAATTCATTAAAACTCGTCATAGGATGGAAATATAAAGTGCTGTAGTTTGTTTCAGCATCTGGAGCTGACAATGCAATTCCAAATAATGCGTCATCCCAATTGAATTTTAATCCTTTGACGTTGTAATCACCAGCCATGGGATCGATGTTAAAATAGTGGTGGTTGACTCTCCAGGATTCGTTCTTTTCCCAAGAGTAGACGACTAAACCAGGTTTCCCCAAGTCTGCAGCGTACGCATAAGATTTCTGGCAATCCCAGTCTTCGACAGCAATGTTGGAAAATCCAGAGTCAAGTTTGACCTGGTCAGCGGGGAAGACGTACTTCCTGATAAGATTGTCGGTTTTCAAATCGTAGACAATAATAGAAGGTGGGTATTTAATAGTGTTGTTTTCAGATGTGGCCATCTTGCCGCTATCAAGGACCCAGAGTCGAGCGCATTTGTCAACGCGTACTCTGTATGGAGAGATGAGTTCTAATGGTTTTCCATCGGAGCCGATGGAATGTGCCGCCCAGCTGGGATAAGGGATGAGCTTTGGCGATGTTGTTGTATTATCTGAAATAGAAATAAATGAAGTTTTTCAGTAAAACATCTTTTAAGTCGGAGGCAAAATTTTCGTAGAAAGTAAAGAGGTAAATGAAAAAGTTACTACTGAAGACAACTCTTTGTAAGTGAATATATGGAAATGAAACTTATTTTTTTCGGATCTAACTCGCCACCTGTGACCATGAGACGTGTAAAGAGGACGAAACGCTGTTTTTTTAGAACAAAATATGCCAATTAGATCCGAAAAAAAGTTTCATTTCAAATCTCGAAAACCTAAGAGCTCAATAAGTATACGGAACTCAAAAAATATAACAAAATATAGTAACTAACATAAGAAAAACAAAATTGTTTTGTTTTAAGCCAGAAATTATAAGTGCAATGCAGTGTAGTGCTGATCACGTGACACTTCAAAGGAAATACGTACAATTTGTAGGTACAGAGGAGGCATAAAGAAACCAAAATTCTATTAGCATGTTTCAATTATGAGTCATGGTTTGGTAAATTGAACCAACCTACGCAATGAGCAATCAGTTAAAACGAGAACTGTGTAAAGGAAATGTCATCGTATCCTTAAACGAACACGGATTGGGGAAATATTTGTGAAGTTTTCCGAGCAGAAAACATTTTAGGTATATTTTGATGTGGGCAGATGGGTTTTATTGTTCGGCGAAGAAGACGAGGTAGTCCAACTGGAAATTCTTATTGTGTGCTTTTAAAAGAACGTTTTTATGGATTGAATGCTTGTCTCATTATATAGGAAGTATAGCGCTTTGCTAAATAATGAATAGAACCGTATTTAAGAGTGGGCATCCAAATTTTAATATTTTTTGAACCCATATCCTGACTCGTGCCTATGTTTGATAAATGCCAAATTTGGACATAGGTTTCATGAAACCTTTTTCTAGTAATTCCACAAAACAAGACACATAATACGTTGAGACGTTCCATACTTTTTTAAATCAAAATCATACTTGTTTTGAGGTTAATCGAATATTCTTAATATATTATTTTAGTTATATAAAATTTAGTACTACCTAAAGAAAATAAGGTATATTTATGGCTCATCAAAGAACATTTGTCATTTAGACGTTTTTCTATTTTCTAGATGTACCTCGACAATCATCGGATTTCCGAATGCACACGATTAGTAATTTTCATGCCCATTAATGATTAGATTTAAAATATATAATAATTTGAATGATGAACAACGTACTTTATTGTTGTTCTGATTTCCGTGTGAACTATTTCATTATCATCATCATCATATCAGCCGGAAGACGTCCACTGCTAAACATAAGCCCCCCCCCCAAAGATGTCCAGACCAACCGATCGGATGCGACGTGGATCCATCGGTTACCCGCCGCCCTTACCAGGTCATCGGTCCATCTAGTAGGGGGCCGTCCCACTGAACGCCTTCCGGTTCGTGGTCTCCATCCAAGAACTTTTCTGCCCCAACGGCCGTCAGTTCTACGACCTATGACTTTAGCGGCTTTTTTCCCATTACTACAGCCGAATCACGAAGTTTGCCGAGGGACATTTCGAAAATAGAAATTAACGAAAATGCCTTTGAGCTCTTTGCTTCCGCTTAAAAACGTGTGAGTATGGTGTATGCAATTTAAGGCTTTTTCGATTCTAAGATACAATTTACGAGAGCGACTCGTAGCGATCTCCACTCAATGCCCCATTCTTACGCAGTCCGCCGTCGAGGGAGGACATACAGATGTTTATGTCGGTGTGTGGCATCGTAGCTTCCAAATGCCTGGACTATGTTTGATGAACATCGTTTCAGGTATATAACACGTCGTTAAAAAATTACCAGCACCTCATCTAACTAAATTGGGGCCGTGTGTGGGCAAATTGACCGGTACGATACAATTGCCTCGTTTACACAGTCACTCTGAAGCCAAAGGAAGATTGCACGTGCAATCGAGGTTATCACCTGTTTGAATTTTTTTTAAGCTAGCGTTCTTTCGCGCGCGACTGCTCGTGTTCGTTTTTGTTACAACGGAAAGAGTGTCCGTGTAAAGACTAATAGCGCAGGATAGACCGCGTGAAACAGGAGCGTGTTTTACGAGCGACACACGAGTGCAATTGCGCGGTCTTTCCCTTTTCCTTCCAACGTCTTTACAAGCGCACTCAATCGCGCACGATTGCTTTATCACGAGCGATAAAATGTCTGTGTAAAGACTGATATTTTCTGCCGGGCCCCGAAGGTTGAAAACTACATGAAAACCACTTATGGGTCTTCACTCTAAAAGCAGCGATTGGGTAGAAAGCCAATAACTTTAATTTACCACAAAACACTGTTTTCAACAGTCCAGTTAGAAAGCAATTAACATGTATTGAAGTTTTTTCCTAGTTAAAGAAGATGATCGCAGTATGAACACGATAAAGGCTTTACTGTTGCACAATAAATAATATTTCATGGCTACAATAGCTTCCCGGTTATTGTAGACAAATTATGAGAATTCTTGAACAATAACACGCCGTTAATTTTACAAGCTCTTAGTACTTAAATTTTGTTTTTATGTGATAAAAATACGTGCAGTATAGTAAGATGGTGCCAATGACCGACAAGTACCAATGTTCAACATTTTTAACCGCGATCCGGCAATTTGTGAACCGACTTTGATGATTCTTTTTTTGTTGGAAAGAGGGTACCTCAGTATTGGTTCCATTTAAATTTGAAGAAAATATTCCACCTCTAAGGGTGGCAAACTAGGGGATGAAACCGGTTTCGCGCACTTTCCGGTAACCGATTTCAATAAAACTTGGCATATAGATGTAATTCCACGAACTTTTGAGGTTGTTTTATTACTCTGTACCGAGATTATTTAAAATTAATTTATAATAAGGTTTAGAACAAAATTTTCTGTCATAGTAACTAACACGTTTGTTATTGGTGACAGTTACTGGGTGTTCATTATTGGTAAGTGCCGATTACTGGTTAGTTAATAAGTGGATTATTAGTGTTCATTACTGGACATTCAGAGAAATTCTAGGTTTATAGTAATAATTATAATGCTAACAGACTGACTACATGTTTACAGTTAATGCGAGACCTCGACTGCGTGAAGTTATTGTTATGATGTTAGACATGCGAGGTCGTTAGTATTTTTAAAATAACCCTGTATATTACATCTTATTTATGGCTTTTTATCAAATCAAATAGATCAAATGTCGGATAGAACAAGCACGTAACGCATTTCTAAAGTTGAACCATCTACTCTGCAATCGAACCATGATGATCTCTACCAGGGTGCGATTGGCACGTTGCTACTTGTTTTCGGTTCTTCTGTATAGCGTCCTGGACCTTAACTCAAACCGTTTAGAAGCCTTTGAAATGTGGGTCTACAGAGGAATTTTAAAAATTTCGTGGACGGATAGATTGTCCAATGAAAGAGTATTGCAGATGGTGAACAAGAAATTAGAGGTCCTGAGTGCTGTCAAAAAGCGCAAACTACAGTACTTTGGTCATATAATGCGTAATGATAAACAAGACATACTCCGACTATTATTATAATATATAAAGATGGCGCTACGACTAAAAAGTCGTTGAAAAACCAAATACAAAGACACGACGCAAGCACATAGAAGAATTCGTGAGGTCCGTTGGTTCGTTCCGAGCATCTGGCACGGTATGCAAGAAGACGTCGGTTCGAATCCGACCGGATCGAAGGAATTTTTTCTGAGTGTTCGATCTTTGTATTAATAATTAAACCAATTATTATTAAAGAATCATAATTACGTTAGACAAGAAAGAAGTGTTATTAACAAGAGTGTATTTATTTTAAAACAGTTATAAATAATTTGTAACTTAATGAACTGATAAATAGGTCTCATAATTTAAAAAAATATATATGCTAGTGTCGTTTGCGACTCTCTTTATCGAGAGTTTATCGGTTGACACAATTTTCTACCTTATCGACATACTCAATATTTCTCTTTAACAACTGATCTTTTCTTAAAGTTTGCAATATACTGTGCCCCTTTTTATATGTATTGTTTATATCATAACGAACAATACAATTACAACGAACTATTGTCGGAACAAAATATTTTTGATCTGTCGTAATATAAATTTAAGAAGGTAGTTACTAAAGTATTGTGTATGGCACTGTAGTGGATTGTGAAACCGTTTTTGTCTACTCCTGTACTTGTAATCTGTCAATTATAATTTTATAAACCATATCACAGAGACGCTCTTTTTAAAATCTGAATCATAATTCTATTGTCTGTG